AGTTTAGTTGTGTAATATTTCTAGGCCATTGAACTCCTCACTTTGACAAGTTTAGCATACAGGAACCACATTTCACCAAGTTTGTTTCTTGTAAATTTCAGGAGGAGAACATAGCAATAAATCTGGATATAACTATTCAGTACTTGTTTCTGAGAAGCAAAAAAGATTCTTAAATTTTCTGTAAGTGTAGTATACAAGTCTGTTCAATTAGTGACATACCATCACTCAGAATTACCTTGCTAAAGCCTTGTAAAGTTTGATCATTACACACAAAATGTGTAGTGAAGCATTTTTTCCTGTTAAAGTCTCATGTATGTTCTGATGATAAAACTCAGTAGATAGCCACTTACATTCCTCCTTTCCTTCTTGTTTTTGATGATAGTGTTACTTATGCCATTCTTATAATACAGTATGATTGATGAGCCACTTTAGCTTCAGTTCAGCACAAGGATTGTCTTTATAAAAGAAAAAGTTCTTATTTCTAGCAAGATAGATTTAATGAATGAGCAACTATGAGTCTGTCCTTAGCCTTATCGTCCCTCTTGTGGAAATAAATTTGCTGCTTAGCAGGATATCTTGAACAGTACAGTGCTGGTAATGAGCGTGGAACCAGCTCATAAACACTCCTTAGTATCAGAGAAGAACTTTCTTCCTGGCATGCAGTTTCTCAAGATGTCCCGTCATGAAAGGAGCTTGCCCAGAATAGGATTCTCAAGACCTCTTCATCCTCAAGGATAAATATTAGTGTAAAGTAAATCTGGGAGGAGGAGCTCCTAAAGGAGGGATCCATGGAAAATATGAATTAATCATTCTATACTTCTTTTGAGAAAAAAAGGGGAGGGAGGACAAAGAGAGAGGAAGGGGAAGGGAAGGAGAGAAGGAATGAGGAAGGGAGGGTGGAAAAAGGGGAGAGATGGAGGAAGGAAAGAAAGAAAGGAAAAAGGAAACAAGGAAAGAGAAAAGAAAAGAAAGAAAGGAAGGAGGGAGGGAGGGAAGGTGGGAAGGTTGAATAAATGAAGGAAGGAAGGGAGAAAGGAAGAAAGAAAATGTTAGTGTATACACATGTGCTTGTGCACCGCACCCCCATCTCAGGTTCCTTACTCCTCTACCACCAACCTCCAAAAGCATTAATAGAATAAGCCTTTTTAATTCTTTAGGACTCTCTGCTGCTGGCCTATAAGCATTTTAAGTGTGTTTCTGCACATTAAAATCCTCCATAAATTCTGCTTCTGTCTAGAACTACTCCTGATAGGAAGAGAAGATCATATCAATACCTCTAAATTGCATTGCAAAAACTATGTAGGTTTGATATTGTATGTAACCTAGCCACAGTCAGTAAACCCATCCAAGGGTAGGGGATGCACAAATTTATTCAGCCCATGAAATCATTTGGTTCATGATGGGATAGACATGTATGCTAAACATGTATGTTCCTGCTAAGTGTCTCATCAGCTGTCCACAGCTATTTGCCTGTGTTGATAGTTGTATATAACCTGTGAATATTGATATAAATATCCAAATTGCCCTTGGCAAAAGAGGTTTCCTATCCTTCCCCCACAATCATACTGTAAAAATCCCTTATGCCAACATCTTGTCAGGAGACAGTCATAATAGAGGTATATGGTATTTGCATAACATCCTGCAGTTTTCAAATCAGGCATCAATGTTGAGTACAAACAATTACCCTTGATATAGAAATTACAGGAATGATTGTCTTCATGCTTATTAATTTATGTTATTATTTTATTTATTCTTTTGTATTTTATTTTGGTTGGTCATGGGCTTGAACTCTGGGCCTGGATTCTTCCGTTCAAGGTTAGCACTCTGCCACCTGAGCCACAGTGTCACTTCTGGTTTTCTGGTAGTTAATTGTAGATCAGAGTCTCACAGACTTTCTTGCCCGGGCTGCCTTTGAATTGCAATCCTCAGATCTCAGCCTCCCGAGTAGCTAGGATTACAGGCATGAACCACCAACGCCTGGCTTGTATTTTATCTTTGATACTGATGTTATTAACTGAAAATAAGAAAGACTTTCCTTATGACATTTCCATCCATGCATACAATAGACCTTGATCATATGCACCCCTCCATTAGATTCAGAAGTGTTAGCACTTTGCCAGTGCCATAAGTGGTAAAACTGGGACTTGACCTCAGGTTTTATACATTTAAATATGGCATCTTCTACTACAGCCTAGTAGTGACTCTCATCACGACCTGTTAAAATGTGTTTTTTCACATTGTAATTTCTATCATCATCCTTCCTTACATGAGCAGTACCTCCATGTTGAGATAAGAATCATGTTAGTAAGCAGGGCACAAAACAGGCTTTTCAAAGCATATAGACATAATAAATTAGAGTAGTATAACTGTAAACTCTCTGGTCTCCACTTTTCAATTCTTTTAAATTACTTTATTGTATGATTTTTCAACTTGAATGTAGGTATAATCTCAATATATTACTTTCTTAATGCTTTTCAAGTTACACCATTTCATTCCCTTTTAATTTGCCTCATTTGGTGTGTGGTCTCAGATTGGGCCAAATGTATCTGAAACAGGATTATATTCTCAAGTCCCTTCTTCCAAAGGGGGTGGGAATTTTGCTTCTTGTATAATTTGTAGACTGCTTCTTTTATTCCTTAAAGGCATATATCATTTATACCCAAAACTTTATTTTTTCAAAGTCTCTGAATACAATAATATATAATTGTGGTAGAAGTGAAGAAGATAAATCGTAACCTGTGTCTCATCTAACTGAAGCTTCCTGTCACCATTTAGTCAGGAAATTCATGGTTATAAGCATGCAGGAGGATGACATTAGTAGAGCTGACTACAGCTGTGATGATGTCAGAATGATTGTGAGTTAATTTCCAAAGAAAAGTAAACTTATCTGCATAGACAGCTTTAATCAATAGCCAAGCAACCTAGAAAAAAATAATTTGAACTTATTTTCCTATGATAGCTGTATAAAAAGAGAAATGTTTCTCAGAAACTAGGTTCAAACATAATAATGTTCTTCCTGATCACAGAAAAAGAACTGGGTCTAATAGGTCTAAAATATGGAGAGGTCATTTTCGAAAAGCATGTGTCTGAATCAAAGCTAGGTTAAGCAATGTCACTTTAATTTCTCTCCTCCCATCTTCTGCCAGAACCATGCTCATCATATCCAGCATACTTTAAAGGGAAAGTACTTGAACATGCTCCCCATTATTTTATGATAACCTCAGTCTTCTAGAAAATATTTGTTTGAATTTCGGGAGATTGAAAGAAAAAGTAAATTTATATCATTTTGACAGTGATGTGTCCAAAATCCATACTGATTCTTATTCTAAAACACTCAAATTTGGGGGAGAAAACATGGTAATAAAAGGCAGATGTGAGTATGTGTGCCTGTGTAGATTGAGCAGCAGTACTCCAGGTAAGCTGATTCTGGTAAGCATCAACCTCTTCCTTTCTCCATGTAATCTGGCAGAATCGATATAGAGAGTGGTGGTAGCATCCTCTACATAGACTAGCTTTCATGTTGTACATATAGATGACAGGTGATTTAAAGCAGCCAGATACACATTTCTTGTTTACTCATTTTCATCTGTTCCCTCATTCCCCAGCTTTCTTCTTATTCTAACACTTGCCAAAATTCAACCTCGCACACAGATGGTGAGAAAATGATTCCTTTCTACCAAGCCAAAGAAAGTGCCCAAATATTAATAGCTATTTATCTAGCAACAGAACCTGAGACTTAATAAATCAGAAAAACTTACATTTCTGACTCCAATGTGTAAACTTGGGAAATGTATCATCCTTTTATTGCTATTAAGTTCATGGGGTTGGTACGAACAGAGGGATTCAGAATGCTGAATCTCTTAGCACTTGTAAGATGATGCATAGTGTATGCTTATGTATTTTCTGTGTTGAGGCAGTTACCTTTACATTCTTATTTATGTCTGTATTCCCCTCCCCTTAGCTCATACGTACCTCCACTACCTCCAAAATTCACAATGTAAAATCACTTCATCCATATTTTTAAAGGTACTAAACAAGTGTGAGGTTGTCAAACTGCTTCAATGCTCTCCATATTAAATGTTATTTCTATAGCCTGAAAAAGTCTAGGGGAATACAAGTTTGGTTCTGATTACATAATTATGCTTGAGAAATATGAAAAAAAATCATCACTAAACCCTCCAGGTGCTTAAACAGTTTGATAGACTGTAGCCATTCTGCCATCAGCGCCCCCAGCTGTGTTGCTTAGCAACATTTTAATTCCACAAGAATCGAAGGAGATGAAATCCCTGTGGAGAGGGAAACAGAAATAAGAGGGCTGTTGACAGATGATCTGAGTTGTTTCTTCTAATATACTGTGAAGATCACTAGCTCTTTTCATGAATGATAAATGGACTGTACACAGATCAATGGGTTCAACAAGAAACTGGAACCAGACTTCATGGCTAAGGTGACGCAAGCTGAGAGCCCAGATATTTCCTCATTTCAAGATCTGGTGTGTGTTTTCTTAAAGATTCCATAGGAGAAAGTTGCTCTCAGTATTAGGTGGTTCCTTATCCTTTTGTGTGTCTGCTAGTACAAGTGATTTGGGAAATGCACACTGAAGTCTGGGATAGGACTACACCATTCCTACGCACTTGCCATCCCACATTGTCGTTCCAACTCAGTCAGACTCAAGTTGTGTGAGGTAAAAGTGGAAGGTAGGCAGGGAGAATCAACTTGAGCACTCAAGGGACCACTTGAATACCCCCTGCTGGACTTTGTCAGAAGTCCTGACAATGCTTGTCTATGTTTGAAAGCTTCACTAACACAGGTAACCCCGTTCTCTGGGAAAAGACCATTGCTCTTTCTAGGTTTCCACTCTGCTTATCTACAGTAGCCTTCTTCAGTTAGCTCTTTGTATTTCTGAAGAGCATTTTATACTGTTGATTATTTTGGTTAGTAGTTGCAAAAATTATGCTTGGCTAATGTTGTCTAATTGCATGTTTTTCTTCTATTCACAGGCTGTTGAAAAGGCAAAACCTAAGACTAATCCTGTGAAGTAAGTACATTTTTATTAGCTGAAATTGTTAATTTTAGTGAGCTGTGTGCATATAAAAAAATAAAGTCACAGAAGAGACTTCAATTTTGACATGATCTCAGTTCATGACAATTTAGTTCAACAACAAACCAAGCAAAAGAAAACCCACCCCCTAGTGAGCAAAGACCAACTTGTGTATTTCCCTGTGTCCCCAATGAGATAGTGCCCCAAGTTGCACCCAGTTTACATAAATTAATATGTGCCCTCCACAAATAGCTGCCAAATACTATTAGACTCATTTTCAATGAATACTACTTGAAGCCATTGGGTTTTGCACATGCTAAACAGATTACATTTTTAATTGCAAACCTTGGACCTATGACAGACATGTAAATGGCTAAAAGTATGCCAAGTGATCTCCTCCCGCATGGGGAGATTTTTCACCTTGGCACCATGCTTCACTACTCTGTTCATGAAAAGCTCATAAAAATATATTTAACTGAGCATTTGTCAGCTAACTAAGGGCTAATTCTAAGGCATTTTATGAAATAATCTTAAATTATAAATAAGCATCTGACACATTCTGTCTCTTCCAGGAGGGAGACTTTCAAGTTAAGAAGGAACACTGTTTTGTCACATGTGACCAATGATAGACTTGCTCTATTTGCTGGCTTATTATAGGTTGAGTAATATTACATATCTGAGAGGCATATGTGATTTTTTGCTAATCAACTATCATTATGTATGATATCAAATGCTGAAAGGGAGACTATATTGATTTTTTTTAAGTTTCTGAGAGAAAGGATCAAATAATGCCGAAAACTAAGAAAGCTGCTTGTGGTGGGTGCAAGAAAGAATTTTTTCATGGCATGCGTGTAGTATTGAGCACAATATTAAATCCAAGCCCTAACAGATTTTTCTAAAGGGTATTATGCACTTCTTATTTGACTTTAGTTTTTCTTAGGTCATTTCATATCCTCTATCAAGTCTCTGTAGCCTTGGGAGGTGCATCTGCAGTTTGAAAGTATGTGATGTAGTGTTCCTATGGAAATATTTTTTACCAGGAAGTTTTCATTGGATTATTTGCTTGGGGTTGAATTTTCTCTACAGCCTGATTTCTTTTTTTTTTTTTATGTCCTTATGCCCTGAAGGCTCCTCCACTATGAGTGTGTAGCTAGAGAGCTGTTGGATTAGAGAGCAGTGTTAATGAAGCCAGGGCCAGGGCTTTAGTCCCTGGGTGGGCCATTAATGATCTTCCTTCTGCACAACTGCACTTCTTCCTTCCAGTCTGTCTGCATGCCAATAAGTGCCTCAGGTCACAATAGGGTGGGGCAGGGGCTGAGGGGACGTGAATCTAGATTGTCAGTGGGACAAATGGATCCATGTTTAAACTCACCTAATAGGAAGTAAAACCCAAATTCCCTCTTTGCCTGCACAGGAAAACCCATCAACACTGGGCTCTGATGCATCAGAAGCGGGACCAGTTCTCTATTTTTGTTCCTTTGTGAGCATTTGAGCCTATAATCTTATCATTGTACTTCATATAAGTTCTTGTTAATTTGTACTGCAGCGTCTAATATTTTTAATTTGTACTGCAGTGTCTATCTAATCTCTAACATGTTAAGGGATGTTTTAAAAAGAAGACAGGAAGACTGAAAGAGTCAAAGGGTTATGAAGCTTTCTACGTTGAAATACATTTGATAGGCTGCTTAGTGATAACGGTAAATCATAACTAAGTGGTAACTATTTAGAATTGTCTTCCAGTTATTGAAGGTAGTGTTCTAAGTGTTAGTTTTCCTATACTGCTCCATTTGTACTTACAGTAGTGAACCAACTTGTGCAGCATTTTTTTTTCTTTTTTGTCAGTCATGGGGCTTGAACTCTAGACTTGGGCATTATCCCTCAGCTCTACAGCTCAAGGCAAGTGCTCTACCACTTGAACCACAGCACCAATTCCGGTTTTCTGGTGGTTAATTGGAGATTAGAATCTCCTGGACTTTCCCGCCCAGGCTGGCTTTGAACCATGATCCTCAGATCTCAGCCTCCTGAATAGCTAGAATTACAGGTATAAGCCACCAGCACCCAGCTTGTACAGCATTTTAAGAAAGGCTTCCCTATAACCTCAGCTCTGGAACAGAAACTCTACACCATTAAAACTGTCTGACAGAATAGACAAAGATTTTTGAAAGTTTTATTTGTAATGATCTTCTTGTCATTTCTGATAACCTGCCAGAAAATTTTGGTTACATGCACTGTGCTGAGATCTCCTAATAATGCAAAGGATCAATCCATGTTTTCTGAATGAATGAACACAAGCTTATCAGATACATGTTGCATAAAAAGTCCTAGAAAAATGACCTGGAGGCTTAATAGCATTGGTAGTTCTACTTTACTAATAAACTGTCACATTGTGTGTTTAAAATGCCCATATCAACAAGTATCTGTTTCTTTCTTTTTTTTACTTACATCTTGCATAAAAATGTTTCTACGTTGCTCTAGTTCTTTCCATCTGCTTTGCTTCTAACCTAGTTCTTAAAAGAATTAACGTTGTTTCCATTTGGAGTCTGTAATGGAAAGTTTGCACAACTCACTAAAAAAAAAAAATCAAGTTCTGGTGGCATCACTAATAATTCAAGCCTGAACATAGATTAGTGAAGATGTTCATTACTGTGATTTTATATATTCGTTTGGTGTAGATTTTGGCAAATGGTTGGAAATCAAAATAAGAATATTACATGTCAGTATGTATACAGAAATTTTTAATGTAACTCAGCTATACTCACTTACTTCCATTTATCTGTGGCTGCTTTTATGGTATAATGGCTAAGTGGAATGTTTGCCGTGGAGATTTTTGTAGTATGCAGAAGCAAACACATTTACCATCTGGCCCCTTGTAAGGAAAGTTTGCTGGCTACTGGTCTATCAAGTCAGGTTGAAAAGGCACTAAGCCTTTTCATGACACTAAAGGTTAAACTAATCAACACTTTCTCTTTTTTGCCATCAAAACAATGGATACATTTGCAGTGAGCCCTTATTGTCTATTCAGGACTTTTCTTATGATGTTATTTTACCTCATTCTCATTCTGAGCAGACACGTTAACTTTTTACTAGCTTCCTAAAACATCCAATAGATATATGATCCATTGATGGCCAGGATGCCTTAGAAACCAGTAAAAATCTATGTTGAGCATGCCACTAGGCTTCCCAATTGTGTATAGATGGATAGATTACAAGAAGCATATGCATTTTCTGAAATTCTGTTACTTTCAGTTGTAAGACTAAGTACTTTTCAATTGGGGTAAGGGCAAATCACCTCCAATATCCATTTAGTTTGTATGTTTTCCTCTTTAAAGTTTTACCTCCCCTTCTCTAGTGCCCCTCAACTTCTTGTTCAACTCATTTTTAATACCTTCCTGGTTATAAGCTTCTTTCCTCACCAAAGGAAATCTATGGTACATATTAATTATACTCCATATTAGAGAGAAACTAAATATATACCTCAGGAAAGTAAGCACATAATGTACCTGGATACACTAATAACATTATGCTGAATATTAAATATTACCTCAGGTTAAGATTCAAAAGTCAGTGTTCTTAAGATGATTGGGACAAGAGATGTCTGGCATATTATGTCTGGCAGATTTCTCAATATACTAGAACCACACTGGCAACAAAGCTTAATTATGATATTAAAAACCACAAAACTGTAATGTGTTGGAAGGAGAGCCTTTTCTACTTGTATGTTAAATTTCTGTAGTAATCATATCTAAGATTTAATTGTGACAGCAAGACCTAAGAGAGATACAAATTTCTCCTACCATATGTGACGTATCACATACATTAAAAAAACACATTTATGTTATTAAGACACATGTGATAGTACACTTCTAAAAATGAGAATTGCTTTTGGCGAAAAGCCATGCACTAATAAATTGAGATGAATCTAACCAAGGTTGACATCTGTTACTGAGAAGGGAGAGAGAGAGATGAAAGAGAGAAACAGAGAGAGAGAGAGAGAGAGAGAGAGAGAGAGAGTCCAGTTGTGAAACTCAAAATACTTCCTTTAACATGTTAACATTATAAATGTGGTGGTTGTCTTTCACAAATTTGGATCTGAATCTACTCAGCTTAGGAGCTTACTATTTTATTTAAGAGCCAATCTATCTTGGAGATATCATGGTTTCATTATTGAAAATGACAAATGGCCAGAAAGATATTTCTGACCACGATGTTAACACATTATTCGTTTATTCATCCAACGAATATTTACTTAATATGTACAGCATTCTTGGAACTGCAATAGGCTAGGGAATTAAAAATAAACCTGAAAAAAGTCAATCTGATAAAGGTTATTATCCTCGATGAGTGTAGAGTCCAATAGGAGAGAAAAGAAACATTTTTGTAAAGAAATAAAGATAGAGTGGTTGGTCAAGTGAAGAACAGATAAAGTAGGAGAGGATTTCTAGGGAGAGAGAGCTTAGCATTATTGGAGATGAGAACAGAAAGAGGGAAGAGGAGAAATTTGCATTAATACATTCAAGACTGCTGGTATAAGTCCCAATTATAAGGTATGACAGGGTGGTGCTGGAGTCCAGGCTACCTGATGATGTATGGGCTAGCTGGAAATGGTGGCCAAGAAGAAAATGATGACTTAAGGCCCTGAGCTCTTATCCAGATGAAATAAATGAGCTACATACACATTTGGTCGCACCATGATTCAACATAAAGTGTTAATAGAACTGGGTGGAGTATTGAGTCTTACATTACCTTGTAGTATGAAATTGGATATGGGCGGCTACAGAGGTACCTCTAATTTTTAAGACAGCAAAAGCTTATAAACTTATTTTAAAATTGCACTCATTTTAGATCATTTACCTAATTTGATGTAGAGTCATGTATATACATGCACTATAAACGTTACAAATATAATTTGTGATTTTTCTACACACATTCATGCACACATGGATACACATAATGACTTTCCTCATCATTTCTGCCTTCTGTATTGGTTCAATGGAGAA